ACATTGGCATACCTCTATGATTCTTATATATATATATATATATATATATATATATATATATATATATATATATATATATATATATATATATATATATATATATATATATATATATATATATATATATATAGAGAGAGAGAGAGAGAGAGAGAGAGAGAGAGAGAGAGAGACAGACACAGAGAGAGAGAGAGAGACAGAGAGAGAGAGAGAGAGACAGACAGACAGACAATATAAAATAACATGTTCTTATCTTTCGAATCTTGGTTAATGGGATTTGATATTGAGAAAAAAAATGATTTAAATTTAACCAAGGATCAATATTCTTTCTATTTCCTTATGTCATTCTTTTTCTTTCCTTATGTTGTGTTCGTGTCGTTTCTATATTTTTTTATGCGGAGAAAAAACTTAAAGGATGACATACAGTTATTACAAAATATACCATATATCGTTCCAAGAAAAATTAAACATGTATGGTTCCTTACCTGTTGTACTTTACTGTAAGATCTTAATTTTCAATGGAATCGTCCGGACGGTAGGCCCTATTGTTAATAGGAAAGGTGTCGTACAATCTTCTATTCCTCTTCGATTCTTAATAGCACTCTTATTCCGGCAATATCATCAAGAGTCTGATGTATTGGGTACATTTATGTTCCCCAAGAGGCAAATTAAAAACGTATTGATAACACCAATCAAAGGTTAATGATATTATGATATGTTAAATATAAACATTCTTCTTAACTGATTTCATTAAAGAAGGCATGAAGCAACGAATTTATTGTTTCAAATGCAACTGAAACTGTGAAACTCATATTCTTGTAGGAACTTAAATTTCGATGCAGTCATAAATACCTCCCAAAACCTCGGCAATCGTTTTATAATTAAAGAGGTCTCCCAAATACTTTGAATTCTCAATAGCACATCAGTTTAAACTGTATCCTAGCTATCAACCACAACGCAACTGAATCTGTAAAAAAAAATCGTCTGATACCAGTCCATTTATCTCTGGTGTATATACAGACCGGTAACATGAGACGAATAACGTGCATGGGAAAGTGTAATGCGATAAATTGTATCAGCCCATTAATCTACACTTGTTGGCAATATTTAATACATAACCTAAAAGTCACATATTGAGATCAAGCCTACATCATCTCCCAAATGCTTCTCTTATGTTGAAAATCAATCATATCTCTAGTGTAAAAAGATCGTATATCTGTCAATTAGTCTACTTTTGTTTGCAATTTCTAATATTTCACTTATCAACCACATATTGTGACTAACCCAACTCGTCTCGACTGCTTCTATGATATTCTTCTCTCTATAAATGACGAAATGAAACACTTGATATTATCCGAGAATGTACATTACTTGATCACTCCGCTAAGCCATGCCAGTGACGTCCGAACATGGTGTACATAATGTGCCAAGGGAAATATTACTTGTGCTGCTAATGGCAAGTATTCATTTACGAATGATGAAGATCTTATCTCTGAAAGCATCCATGCGATTCCTCGTCATATTTCGAAGTCGCTTTTGAAAAGTTCGGTTTTTGTTTGATGTTTTATGGCACATCAGCAGATATAAGGCTATTTATTGACGAGGCAATTGGAATTAAAGGTGCTCGACGCAAGCTATATGTTAAATAAAAAAACAATAATCTGAAGGGGAAATAAAATCACACCGAGTGACACAATCGTCTCAGATTACCCCCATGACCCGTTCTGATATAGGATACTGTCTACTATGCTATAATTGAAAAAAGGTAAGTAACTTTCAAAAACTTCTTTCCACGCTTGACTCGCGATTTCCTTCTGCTATATTAGCCTTTGAAGGCACACGAGTCTAATAGATGGCTTTTTATACTCCTGGGATATTTTTCTATTCGTAAAGCCATCATTGATCTTTGTACAAAACTGAAAGTTAAGAGTTCCGAAACGCATGAATTTCGCTAGCTGGGACAAAGTTACGCGCCGATGGGTACTGTTCTGTGCAACGAAACTTCGTTTACTGAGAAATATGGTAATTGCGACTCGACGATACATTCCTTCATTAATCAGAGAATAATAGTAGATGCAAATGTATGTTCCTACTTACTATTAACTCTATTCAACTTCAGGACTTCAGTTTCATAGAAGAATTATCTAAGCCCACACATATCGAATTACACATTACACTAGTTTTCATAATCTACGGACTAAGCGGCATCTACATACACGTTAACAGAGAAATATGATTGGCTCAAACATTAATATTTAAATAACAGGTATGCATCTGGTCCGTGAGGCTACATCTTGTGCCAATCTTATCACGTAGCTTTGTACCGGCAGGCAAAATTCGAGAAACTCGTACGTTTCGGAGTCCATAACTTCAGTTTTGTGCAACTCAGAAAAATGGCTTGATGAAATAGAATACTATCTTTGTAATAAAACAAGCCATAGATTATGGTCGTGTGTCTTCGAGACGGAAATAGCAGAAGGAAATCTACGGTCAAGGACGAGGCGAAGTTTTGGAAGTTACTTACCTTGTCACTTTTATAGTATGATAAACAGGGTCCTGTCAGAACGTGTCATGGGGGTAATCTAAGGCAATTTCGTCCCTCGGTATAAATTGTTTTCTTCAGATTATTGCTTTTATAAAATCATGTTCACGGTGAGCACCTGTGATCGGAGTAAAATGACTTGCCATGTGCTATGTATATTTAATTTGCATTGCTTGCTAGTTAGAGATTTGTTTTGCTTCTTTTATTTCATTAAATGCTGTAGATTATGTAAATAGTAATTTTGTTATTGACTTTTCCAAAATCACGTTAATTTTCTACCTTATCTGAATAATTCATTTTTTAAATTTCTGTAAGCAACTATTATATAACTAATATTTTTCTATGAGTATGGGGTAGCTATTAGGATTATTATCGTTGACTGAGTCAAGGATATTGTGCTTACTAAGTTCTTTATTATAATTTTATTAATAGACCTTCTAATCATAGCTAAGATCATAGGTTGTCTACATTTGGAACCTTCCAGAATGAAATGTCCGATTAGGTAATAGTTTTTGTAGAAAATGCTAATTGTGACCTGAGGTAAAGCAGAGGACTATATAATCATGTTTTTCTAAGTATTATTTATTCGTACTTTAAGATCTGGTTGTGTGCAGTATTTCATTTGGGCTGAAATTTATTTATTAAAATTATTTAATTCAAGTTATTCTTCTATGGAAATTAAAAATGCTCAGAAATAACATTGATGGAAATAGAGACATTGATTCATTGTGAAATTTAAATAAGGATAGATTCTTTGATTATATTACTGATTCAATAAAATTTGTTGGCACATCACTACGACACAAATCACCACAGGCAAATCAACATTTCCAGCGTTGGATTTATTTTGGAATCCTACTTTCGTTTGTTCAGATCTTTGATCAGTATGACCTGTTTTGTGTTCGACTTTCTAGGACGATTTGGGAATTATTTCGCTATTTCATAAGTTATTTATACATTTTTCACTTTGTACTTTAGGGAAATAAATTATTTTTTGAATTTTCCAAAACTTGTTGGTTTTCACTCTATTTTATTATTTATTTTGAGACCATATTGTAGTAATACCATTGATTCCCTATGGTAGTCGAACCGTTCTGATCCAATGATGTAATTCGAAGCTGAACCCCTTTGGTCAAGAATCCGGTACGATAAACGCCGAAGAGGAGTTAATTTCGTATCTTTATTAATCGCACCTTCTGATATGCAGGAGGGTGCAACGTTCCTATTTTACGTCCTCGAGCTTACCGGAGTTTCGTCCATGAGACGTGAACATGGTGTAAAAGAGACTGAAAACACAAAATGTGTTTGATTAGCAGTTTACAAGCTTAATCCAGATATTATGCTAGCACTTCCTATTTTGCTTCGAAAAGATTTCAATTAAAGATTAAAATTTAATGTCTCAATTCAGCCTTGGCAAGCGTTTGTTTCATAAGATTATACACAAGTCTGACAAAAAGTTCAGAAAACAGATGGTCCAAAAACATTTATGCAGTACTAAATTTCAAAATATATTTCAGTACAACAAAAATAGTCATTTGTTGTTGTCTTAAGTGAAGCTGTTTGTCTTACCCGTTTTGCGAAATTGTTTTTGTGTTGTTGTTGCTGTTTTGTGATAATATTTTTTATCAATAATTATATAATTTCCAATTGGAAACTCGAAAGAAGGCCAAGGATGCTATTAACCACCATTTCACATTTTCACATTAAAAGTTTCGGCAAACAGTATGCTATATCCATTATAAGCATACACCGTACTTTTCAAACTGAAACATAGGACCTCTTGAAGTCGGATTTGTCATCTTTAACCTTCTAATGTTCATCTTGTAAGAAGGGTTTTCTTGTTTGTTTTTTTTTAACTCTGAAGATTTTAGCAGCTTTTAACACTTTTAAGATCGTTGGCTCTTCTCTTGAAGGTTTAAATAATTACGTTTGATTTGAACAGTTTATCAAGTATTCAACAATTTTCCTTTTATGTTTCAAAATTATATTTTAACATATTTTACGGAGCAATATATAGTCAAGATCGTACTCAAAAATGCTATTATTAGATCTGTTCAAGCTTCGTATTCATAGCTGAAGTTTGCACTCCCATTTCTAACGATAAATAGTTATCTATTTCGAAATAAGTTCGAGAACAGTCTTAAAAAATATGTAGTTTATCGTTTAATCCCTAACACTGGAAATGATATTCTCAAATAATGTGTGTGTGTGTGTGTGTGTGTGTGTGTGTGTGTGTGTGATTCTGATTTTTAACATAACTTTAACAAAGTCATATCTCTCCGATGTCTACGATGTGACAGTTTACAGTGATGTCTAGCACTGGGGCATCATGCCACAGACATGTGGCAAGATGTCCCACCCAGTCACATTATCCTGACACCAGGCCTACCATTCCAATCACTAACCTCTTAATGCTGAGCGCCAAGCGGGACAGCTGTTAATACCATTTTTTAAAAGTCTTTGATATGTCTCAGCCAGGGCTTGAACCCGCGACCTCCCGCATCCGATGCGAACGCTCTAACCACTAGGCCACTGTACCGGTTTCTCAAATAATCACATTTATGTTTAAATTTCATGGTGTTGATTGTAATAATGAAGAATACATTTTATATATATATATATATATATATATATATATATATATATATATATATATATATATATATAACGTACGCAATCGATTTACAAGATACTATATAACTCTATAATATATAACTAGTGCTCGATGCTGTTACATAGAGTATGATTTGGTAAACTCAACGGTTTTATTAGTCTCCATCTTGATCTTCATCGTTAAGACAATTGGAAGTACTTTCATTCTGATCCTTTACACAACTCCAACGGTTTATTTCCTTTTTTTAAAAAGTGTTTCTCATTTACTCTACTCCGTAACTTAATTTTTAAAAAGAGTCCCAAGAACGAAAACAAAAACTAAACAACATCCGTCCCTTGCACGTCTTTCAACAATTTCATGACTAGTTTTACCACATGTATGTTTGGACCTGCATTATATAACACATTTGCGTGTATCTTTTGTCAGATTAGGGTGATGCCGATGGTAAATATTGAGAGAGAGAGAGAGAGAGAGAGAGAGAGAGAGAGAGAGAGAGAGAGAGAGAGAGAGAGAGAGAGAGAGAGAGAGAGAGAGAGAGAGAGAGAGAGAGAGAGAGAGAGAGAGAGAGAGAGAGAGAGAGAGAGAGAGAGAGAGAGAGAGAGAGAGAGAGAGAGAGAGAGAGATGCGAATGTGGAAATGTAGATGTAGATACAAATGTAAGGATCAGATCTGGACCTTCGGTAATACTTTTCAAATGAATAAAGCAGTTTTGGAACATATACTTCCTTTCATTGAATTTGCCTCGATTCTCTACCCTGGTATGTCCCTCGGAAGTCACTTTACTCCAAAAGCTTCGGCACTAAGTAGTCCTCTTGTCTCGAGTGTCGTTAAACACCAAATCAACAACAACTATCCAAAGACGCATATACATTACGTATCACTTTTAGATTTATTGCTTGTTTGCAAACTGGATAAGTGGTTTCAGCAAGAAATGCTTCTTGACATGCAAAATGCTAATATGAAACGATATGCTCTTGACAATTATCAATTCTAAATTGTAACAGCAGAATCAAAAATTGTCAATTTATGGAAGCCACCGTAATTGCGCCTCTACTGAATTCGTAATAACCCTAATGAATGACTTTCCATAACTACAGTAATGGCAAATAAATTGATTCTTAGTGACGCACGTCGGTTTTCAGCACATAATGACTTTTTGAGAAAAATTTAAAAAATGAAGAAAGGACTTTAAAAATAATTTTTTGTGAACGTAATTTTCGAGAGTTGAAATGAAATGGACATTTCACGCGTATTGATGGACTGTTATTTCAACGTTTAACATAGAAGATAAAGCATTAAGCAGGCACAAATTAACGATATTTCTAACAGTCACGTGTTTCGTTCCAGGTCTTATTATGTTTCTTTTACTATTTTGTCTGCTATCATTAATCGGTTCTTTTGGCTTAAGTATTTTATTACGCTTCGCTTGCGCTTTCAGCAATTCTTTGAGTTATGGACTTGATTTAATTACAATTTGTTGCTTACTAACTTCCACTCATATTCAAGAAATGCAATGTTATTGATTTTAAAAATTCTTCACCTAAAGCTTCAAATCCATCTTTGTCAAACGAAGCTTTAAATAATATTAAATAACATGTTTTCAGTTGTGTTCCATGTTTGGAAGTACTTTAACTAGTTCATTCATTTACTACATGAGAAGGGTATAGAAAATGTTTTAGCTTCATACGTCAAGTATGCGATTTGTATGCTTTTAAATAGTAACACATTGCTTTGCTTTCTGTCTTATCAGATTATTTTCCAGTTTGGTTTTTCAAAAATGGATCTAAGACCTGAAAAACTTGCTACAACGTCACCTGCAGCTTCTCTTTTTATATCACGGTTTCGTTCGTTTATATTTTTTAAAATATCAACCATACCACCAAACACTCCTTCTCAGTTTTTGTGGGGTTTTGTTTTTCTTCATTAATTTTTGTTAAGTCATCTCAATTTGAGTTTCTTTCACTTTAGTTGATAAGGTTTCTTACTGGAAGATCAGTACTCTTCTCATTCACATACTTAACATCTTCGCGAGCTGCATACGTGCCTGTCATTACTTGAAACTTTTGAATCATAAGTCGTTTATGGTATCTAAATTGAGATGGAAATTTTGTAATATGTCTTTTACATTGTCTTCCTAAGTTTTTGCCCTTCTCTAATTCGGTTAAATCGTTCAAAACTAACGAAAGATTGTGTTTTTCATTAAATCCGTAACATTTGTCACTCACATGATTCCATTCTAGCAAAACACCTTTGGAGCAGAAATAAATGTAATTTTATTGATCAAAATATGATAGTGTAAACAGTCATAAAGTAATATATTCATACCATTATCTTTGGCATCAAGACACGACGGAGTTACCTTGCTCGTCATGATCATGAAGAAGTTATCGACTTTATGATGTAAGCAAGTACATTTCTTGGCAGTTGTCCAAATGACTGAATAAAGAATCATTTTGTATAAGAAAACACAAATTTCTTGTTAACCACACACTTCTTGATCTGTTTAACCACACACTTGTTCAATCCCTTACACACATTTCTTTTCATTTTGATCTATTTGTCCTAATAAAAAAAAGAGTTTTGATCGTGATCAAGAAACTCTCTTTAGTTCATCCGTGCGCTTGTGTCAATTTTTTTCTTTAATTTGGACATACTGAAAACATATTGGGCTTTTAATGTCACTGGTGTCATAATAATAATAAAAAAATAATTCTGTTTATTTAATGATAACATACAAATTATGTCTAAACACGATAAATAGTGTGTCAGTAAGCATTAGCCTAATAAGCTCAAAGTATCTATTTTTTATCTCAATGCAGAAATTAGTTTCTTAAACTATATGTAGTATCTACTTTTTTAACTCAATGTAGTAATTATTTTTTTTTAACTATATGTAGTATTTTTTTTTTAACTCGATGTAGTAGTTTTTTTTAACTCTATGTAGTATCTATTTTTAACTCGATGTAGTAATTATTTTTTAACTCGATGTAGTAATTATTTTTTTAACTCAATGTAGTAATTAGTTTTTAACTGTATGTAGCATCTATTTTTTAACTCTATGTAATAATTATTTTTGAACTCGATGTAGTAAAATTCACAGAGCATCCTTTTGAACAGATTTGATGCAATGACATCATTGATGCCGATTTGATTAGTTTGTTTTTTATTGTTTGATGACCGCATAACACTGAACATGATAAATTCATGTTCTTCTTGAGAATGAAAGATAATTAAGAACTATTTCGAATTTATTTTAATCTACACATTTTTAATTGTGTTATCTGAGATTTTCCATCTCGGTCAAACATCGAGTTTAACATTAGTTTGAAGAAATCCTTTACGAAATAATTAGAGGCATTTTATCCCAAACTTATATTGAACTCGATGCAAGTTGTTTTTAACCAGGGTTGTTCAAACAAGATAACTCTCTCTCTCTCTCTCTCTCTCTCTCTCTCTCTCTCTCTCTCTCTCACACACACACACACACACACACACACACACACACACTCACACCAACTCTCTCTCTCTAACACATACATATATCTTAATTAAATATACAACTTAAGTATGTATAATAAAATACTTATTTCTCTTTGTTTTAATATACAAGTAATTTAGGTAATGTCTGATTGTTTGCTTTCTTCGTGTAATGAATTGTTGTTGAAGATCTGATGAATCATTTTCCTCAGGTAATAGTTTTTGTTCTGGAGAAGATGGACGCTTAGTCCTATTGATATTTAGGAATCACCAAGTCTAGCATGAGCCAAGTATAATTAATATTAGTAATGCTTATCATGTTTTTCACCTGTAATGTATTGACGTTTATGCATTGAGTTTATGTATTTGATGCATTGAGTTTAAGTATTTGATGCATTGAGTTTATGTATTTGATGATTGATTTAAGTATTGACTCTTCATACGCTCTATACCTTTTAATTTTTCCATCATCTTTAATTTGACTTGTCACACCCTGCGTCATCTTTAATTTTTCCATCTTCATCTGCATAACATTCACGATTCGAATTAGTGTTTCTATGAAGTAGAATTAGTCCTTCTCAACAGTAAAAGTCATTCGACTAGCATACCAACGCATTTTCATTTCTCCTACTTTTTCAGCCTGAAAGGCAAATGTGTTGCCTCATTAACAGGAATATCGGATTAATTTTCAATTTTATGAATGTCAACTTGTTTACTGACATTTATCACACCAGTAAGTTTATATATCTAAACCGTAATTGGTTGGCGTGTTGGCGTTTGTGCATTCTTTGTGGTAGTCATTATTATGAATTCAACAGCATGAAAGATGCTTCAAACTTATCAATGGTCGTACTCAAGTAGTAAATCCATATTTTGTGTTATTATCTATCTTTTATTCAAATGGCGTGTCAAGTTCATCTAAATAAGTATCTTAACACTTTATCCATCAGAATTTTGTGAAAGATCGACCCGAAGTGTATCAAATAGTTACATTTCTTTATTTCATTATATTCTTGTCTGTTAAAGTATTGTACCTGGGTAAAACCTAAGGCTAAATTAAACCTAAAGTTCATTTATCCCTAATGCTTAATTAAACATAAGGTTCGATTATACTAAAATGGCGTAAATTGTGAAAAGGGTATATTTTAAGAAAATTAGGACGTAGTTCCACCAAAAGAGTTTATCAAAGTACTGGAAGTACTTTGAGATTTGGACTTCAAAAACATGCGTGTGGGATATGTAACTTTCAGACAATATTTGTGTTTGGTTCTATACCGTGGGGTGTACAGCTTTCAGACGATAGTAATGTTTGGTTCTATACATGTGGTGTGAACAGCTTTCAGACAGCTTTTATGTTTGTTTCTATGCGATGGGGTGTACAACATCTAGACAATGTTTACATTTGATTCTATATGTGTTGTTACAGTATTAAAACAAGTTTGTTTGGT